GAGGGCCGCGAGACCAGCCGTGCTCGCAGAGGCCCAACTCTTGGCAGCTTTCGCACGGTAGCACTCGCACTGGCGGTATGAATTGACGCCATCACAGGCCCCGCCATTGGAACCCTGCTGGCCCTCAGTAGATTGTCGCGCTGGGCAGGGGGGGACTTGTGGCCCATGTTGTGGACGTCGCGCTCGGCGCCCATCAACTCGTGAATTCTGCGTCGGGCCCCTTGGAGGGCGCGGCCCCTGGCGCTGGCCAGGACCCCCTTCACCCTGGGGCCCCACTATGCGCTCAACATCGCCTTGGTGGTCGGCATGGCGACGCGAGCTCGGTAGTCCCGATTATTGCCTGTCTGGCGAGGCTGCCGCCTCGCCATCATGTTCTTGGTCTGAATCTGCCTTCTTAACCATGGCTCGCACCTCCGCCACGAGCTCGTCCTTCGTCTTGCTGCCGTCGGCTGCCGCTGAACGAGGCGTGGATGGCGCGCGAGGCTGAGGTGTCGGTGGCGCTGGTTCATCAAGAGCAGGTACATGCTGCGCCTCCCCCTCCTTCTGCCTCCCCTTGCTTGGCGGCCTGCTTGGTCGCGTCACGATTGTTATTGGTTTGCTCGCGAGCTTGTTGGAAGTTCTGTCGGCATCAAGAGCTGCCTCTTGACCTCTGCGAGCTCGTCTTTCGCGTCCTGGTCGTACGTGTCGGGGTCGTCGTCCTCCAGGTCAGCAGCGATGCCCAGGCGGTCTTCGTCGTCAAGGTTCAGGCCGAAGATGGTCTGCAGCAAGTTACTACTATGGGGTTTGTCGCCTTTCTTCTTCACCTTGGAACTTGTCTTGACACCCGTGGATACCTCGACCGGCTTCTCTGCGTCAATGCCCGCGCTGGCACACTCCATCGGGTAGGCGTTCTGCTCGGCTAGCTGTTTTCGCACGACCGCCACCTTCTCGTAGGCGTTCTCGCACGTAGGGTTGGCCCTCTCGCGCCTGGAAGCTGCATTGCGGAGCTGTCTGGCGCGGTTCCGCGCGGGCTGATCTATGGGGCCAGCGGCGATGCCCATGGTGGAGAGCGGCTCGGCTATACTCCTCACGGCGTCGGCCATCAGCTGGTTGTCCCCTATGCCCGAGCCCTTGCCCGAGCTCTTGTCCTTGTCGCCCTTGCTGGAAATGTTACGCTGCTTGACCTTGCTGCCGCAGTTGCACGTCCAATCCCATAAGAGCCAGTCTTCGTCGTATCGCCACTCACCGCAGCTCTTGCACGACGTTCAACCCCAGCTCTGGTAGACTTCTGTGCGCCTTTGCCGTGGCTCTTGCCGCTGTTGTCGTTGTTGTTCCTGCCCTTGCCTTTGTTGTTCTTGTAGCTGTGGTTGGAGTAGCTGCCCTTTAGCTGTTGCCTCCCATTGCGAGGTATGTTCGTTGGTCTCGCTGGTACTGCTGCGCGCTGCGGTGTTTGCTGAGCGTGTGCGCCGCGTTCAACACCTTGACCCGTGTTTTCGCCTCGGACCTGCGCTGGCGGTCCCGCCAGTACCAAGCAGGTTCGGGCGGCGTCTCGCCAGTGGGAAAAACACACACTATGGGAAAACACACACACACAGTGCCAGTGGAAAACACACACACACACACACTGTGGGAAAAAAACACAGTGTGTGTTTTGTGCGCTTTTTTCCACAATGTGTGTTTTGCGTTTTTTCCCAAAGTGGCGCCGCGGGCGATTCAGCCGCCCCGCCGCGACTGCCCGCGGCAGGAGCTGCAGTTGGCCGCCAGTCGGCCAAGGGGGGGGGGCCGCGAGGCACAGAGTGCCTCCTCCGTGGGCAGCGCGCGGCTCGCGAGAGCCCGGCCTCTAAGGCGGCCCGATCGCGGGCGATCGCGCGAGGGATCGATCGAGCGTCCCCGACGCAACCCAGATCTGGCCCCTCCCCGCCGAGGCCAGATGGGTCCAGGAGGAAACGGCAGAGGAGGAGGAGGAGGAGGCGGAGGAGGAGGAGGAGGAGGAGTGTGGGAGGGAGGGCTGCTCCGACGCATCCTCCCCCGCTGTGTGCCTGGCCCGCCACGCCGCCGCACCTGCCTCAGCGCCTCTCGGCAGGGTGATGCGGCGGCCGTGCCGACGTCCTCGTCTTTGCTTCGGTGGTTGCTGGGCAAATTTTCCACCACCACTACCATATGCAGGACGGGGGAGAAGGGAGGGGAGGATGAGGAGGTCCTCCTCCTCCTCCTCCTCCTCCTCCTCCTCCTCCTCCTCCTGCTCCTCCTCCTCAACTTCCTCCTCCTCCCCCTCCTCCTCCTCCTCCTATATATGGTAGCGGTGGTGGAAAAATTGGGCCCTTCAAAGGGGGCGCCTGCGAATGCCGGGCGCGCCCGACGGCGGCAGAGGCTGCAGCGCGGACGAGTGCCGCTCCGGCGGGCGCGCCAGGCGGAGCGGGTCCCCGCCCCCCCCCCCCTCCCCCCATCAGTGGATGCCTCTGCCCCGCCCACAGGGGATGCCGCCCAGCAGAGGGGGGATGAAAAGCAGACAAATGTGTTGAGCGTGGAAGCCGGCGGTGCTGGTGCTATTTTGCGAGGGAGGAGGGGGAAGAGGAGCATGTTGACGCGAAGACGGAGGGAGAGGAGGACGGGGTGGTGGGAGGACTACTCCAATTGACCGCCCTTCCTTACCCCCCCCCCATCCCCTCTTCCCCGCCCCCCCCCCCCCCCCCCCGCGTCCCCGCGTACTCCTAGTGCTTCTGAAGCTTCCACTCATCCTCCCCCCCTCTTATTCTCCATTCTTTCTCCACCCCTTGGGGAATGGGGGGCAAACCACTGATACCGCCATCGGGGAGACGTCAGACTCGGGTTGGGGGGACTCGGGTTGGCCCGACGGGGCCATCATGAAAATGACGCGACCCGATCTGAGGTTTGACGCGAGCTCCCGCTGTCGACGTCCCACGAAAACTGGACCACCAACATCGAGGACGCGCTCGTCAAGAAGCGTGGGCAAACCCGAATTCTGGCATGCTCGAGTCTTACGTTCCCCCGCCACTACTACCCGGGCCTGTCCTGGGGTGCGTTCTGACCAGGACTTCGAGGCGACTCCAGTCACAGCGACGAGGGCCCCCCCGGGGAAGCCCACCAAAGGCGGAAACGAGGAAGGGGCAGCGGTAGGCCATGGCGACGAGACCCCTGCTCCTCCCTCCGCCTCCTCCTTCTCCTCCTCCTTCTCCTATTTCACTTCCACCTTCTCCTCCTTATCATCCTTCTCTTCCTCTCTCTCCTTCTGCTCCTCCCTCCGCCTTCTCCTCCTCCTCTTGCTGTGTCGCCTCCTCTTCTTCCTTCTCCTCGTCATCATCATCATCGTCATCATCATCATCATCATCATCAGCATCATCATCATCATCAGCAGCAGCAGCATCCTCATCGTCATCCTCATCATCAGCATCACCATCATCAGCATCATCATCGTCATCACCATCATTATCCTACTCATCATCATCAACAGCATCACCATCATCACCATCATCATCAGCATCAGCATAATCAGCATCATCATAATCAGCATCAACATCATCATTAGCATCAGCATCATCAGCACCATCAGCATCATCAGCATCAGCATCATCAGCATCGACATGATCATCATCATCCTCATCATCAGCAGCATGATCAACAGCATCAGCATCAGCACCAGCATCAGCATCAGCATCATCATCATCATCATCATCATCATCATCATCACCACCACCATCATCATCATCAGCAGCAGCAGCAGCATCATCATACCTCAAGGCGGGGGGTGAGGGGGGGGCAGTGCGCTGGCGCGGCACGCACGCGGCACCCTGGGGAGCTGAAGTCCGCGCTCTTTCTTCTCTTCCTGGGGGAACCCTCCCCCTCTCCTCGCACGTTCCCTTGCCCACTCTTCCTCTCCATGGCCGGGATGCCCCACCTTGGCGTTCGTGGGAGGGGGCGGCTCGCCTACGGGCGGCTCATTTGAGGACCTCCGTCCGTTCTTCCCGCCGGCTAGGGTTCCCCGCCCTGGCGCGCATGGGGCTGAGCCGTCTCTCGTGGGAGTGGTGCCCCCGCGGAGGCTGTTCCAGGCGGCACAGCCCAGGGGACGCGACGCGATCTGAGGACATTGCTCGAACATTGTCGGGTGGCACGACTCGCAAGAGTGCGAGCCGAGTGGCGCCGCGCAGGCATGTGGGCGGTGAGTGGATGAGGTGTTGGGTGGCCCTCCAATCCCTGGAGTTCCCATGCCCTGGTTGCACCCCATTTGTTTGTGTCCTTGATGAGCCGTCGTTGGACGGCCGTGCTTGCGAGCTTGTTGCCACTATGCGCCGTGCTTCTTGAATGGAGGCGCGTCTGCCCACAGCGGCTGATTGATGAGACGATGGCGCATTCTCTTGTGTACCGGTTGTACGCGAGTGATTTGTATAGTGCGACTGGTGCTTCTGGGGGCAAATCCTACTGGTATCCATCATCACCACCGAAGTCATCATCCTCATCATCACCATCATCATCATCATGATCATCAGCCTCACCATCATCACCATCACCATCATCATGATAAGGATCCTGATCATGATCATCATCATCCTCATCATCATAAGCAGCATCACCATAACCAGCACCATCATCAGCAACATCATCATCCTCCATCCCACCACCACCAGCATCACAAACATCAACGGCATCACCACTATCATCACCAGAATCATAACTATCACCACCACCACCACCACCACCCATCACCACCACCACCAGCATCAGCAGCATCATCAGAATCCTAGGCATCGCCGTCCTCACCACCGCAATCATCACCCTCACCCTCACCCTCACCCTCACCCTCACCCTCACCCTCACCCTCACCCTCACCCTCACCCTCACCCTCACCCTCACCCTCACCCTCACCACCACCCTCACCACCACCACCACCACCACAACTGTCATCACCACCACCATCGCCACCACCATCAACACCAGCAGCACCGTCCTCCTCATCACCATCCACCGCCTCTGCCGCCGACGAGGCCCGGCGGCGAAAGGCTCTCCCGCTGCATCTGGTGGAACAAGTCCACGGCGAGGGCGCACTGCTGGCCTCGGACGGCCCACCCCAGAGTGCCGGAGGGACGCTCCTCGTCCTCCTTCTCCTCCTCTTCCTCCTCCTCCCTCAAGCCATTTCGGTTCGGGCATTTTTGCGCGAACCTGCTCCTGTACCTTAGAAGGGTGCTTGCGTGACTTCTCCGACACATCTGCCCATAGGCTGGGGAAAGCAGGAGCTACCAGAGACATGCCGACAGTCACGAGACCGTGGAGTCATTGTGCGCATTGCAAACGGCCTGGGTACAACGACAAACTCACGAAGAACAACTGCAAGTGCGGCCATTGAGGGAAGAAGGTTCGTCTGTTCCGCCCGCGGTCGTCTTCGCCTGCTGGCAGTGATAAGAAAGTGTCGTTCAATGATCAGGCTGTCGTCATCCACGTGGACACGGGGACCAACTCCAAGAGCGAGGTTGGCCGTTCCCGAGGTTCACGGAGGGCAGCGTCCAAGGAGAGGGTCGAGCAGCAGCAGCTGACCGAGCTCTTGGACCAGCCTGTTCAGGCCGCCGACAACGATGAGATGAAGCAGGCGCTGAAGATGCAGAGCCAGCAGCTGGCGGAGCTCGCCGCGCAGGAGGCCGTCAAATCCGAGGCTGACCTCGTCCGCCAGGCGGACGGAGCTTGGCGCGCGGCGGCGCACCGCCACGAGCAGCTGGTCACGCAGGTGCTGCGGCTCAGGACGCAGCTGCAGAACGCTGAGAGCAAGGAGCAGGCAGCCTCGCTCGAGCTGGCGCGCACGGAGGCGGCCAAGAAGAAGGCTGCCCAAGCGCTCGCTCGTGCTGAAAGCTACCTGACGCATCCAACGGGGAGGCCGACGACGACTTAAAGGCGGGCAAGGGCAACCTTGCCTTCGAGGTCAGGATCGACAGTGAGGTGTTCGAGAAATTCGAGCAGTGGGAGTGTGACGAGACCGACAAGCAGCAGCTGCGCACTTTGAAGACGCGATTCGAAGGCTACATGTCGGAGTTCGAGTCCAAAGAGAACGAGCTGGAGGTCTTCCTCACTCGTGCGGTCCAGGTCGAGAAGGAGGTCACCGAGCGCATGACGAAGAAGAAGCGTTGCGAGAACGAGCAGAAGCGAGAGACCGCCGCCCCCACCGCGGTCGAGTCCCAGGCGGCGGTTGGCCGAGCCAAAGGGGAACGAGGTGATGGGCGGCAACTCCGACGCCGACGACGAGGCGCTGACGAGGGAGGCGGCCAGGCTGTCGGCGGCCCGCTCCGCCGCTGCCCGGGCCGTGGCGGCTGGCGGCCCTGCGGGGAGCAGCCCGCTTGACGACGGCCCACAGGGTGGCGTCGCGAGTGGAGGCCCCTCGGGTGGCGCCACTGCGCCGGCGAGCGCGGCAGGCAGCGGCGGGGGCGGCGAGCACATGCCGACGCCAGCTGGCGGTGGTGATGACGACGCCGCTCTGTGGCTGGGTTCCCCGAGTCGGGACCATCAGGCGGCCGTGGCCGCCCCCTCTACCTGCGCATGTTCGGCACCCTCAGCACCTGCAGAGTCACCGCTGTCAGGGGGATCAGCGACTGCGTCGGCCACGACGCGAGTCCCCGTTGGGAACGTGACTTGCATGGGTGACAAATCTTGGGAATACGTGTGTGCCCAATCCAAGTCGCACGACTACCTGGCGGTGGTGGAGTCGCACGTCCGAGCCAGCGACGTGCCCAAGTGGGCCAGCAAGGCCTGTGTGAGAGCACTCAAGCTGTTCGCCAACGGAGCCAGACCCAGGTCAAGGTGGGTCTGCCCGTCTCAGGAGGAGCGGGCCAACGAAGGAGGAGAGTGGCTGGTCGCCAAGAGCCACCGACCCGCGCAGTCCTGGACGCTGCCAGAGCAGCCAAGGGGCTGAGAGCAGATCGAGGAGGTGTATTCGACGGAGTTCTGCCTTGCCAACATCACATGAGAGGCTTTTCAATTGTCTTGTCCATTGTCTATGGCCACTCAGGTGTAGGTTTCTTGGGCGCCGGAGTTGTCCGGGGTAACTCGGGCTTGGATTCCCGAAAAACGAACCCGAGTTATCCCTGACCCGAGTTACCCCTGATGATGTGGGGCTCTGGACGCCCGAGTTATCCGGGGTAACTCGGGTCCAGGGTAACTCGGGCTCGGATTCCCGACGAACGAACCCGAGTTATCCCTGACCCGAGTTAACCCTGATGATGTGGGGCTCTGGACGCCCGAGTTATCCGGGGTAACTCGGGTCCAGGGTAACTCGGGCTCGGATTCCCGAAGAACGAACCCGAGTTATCCCTGACCCGAGTTACCCCTGATGATTCGGGGCTCTGAGTTTCGGTCAGGCTAACGTTGCGAGATGTCGCAGGATCGGCAGCTTGCTCGCCACACTGCTCTGCCATGGATTGCCGTCGGGGATTGAAACCTCTCCCCGACCGACCTCGCCAAGACTGGTTTTTTTTAGGAAGGATCGGAGGATCAGTCCTGCGATCGAATGTCGAGTACACTTGCGCGCCCTCCAACAGCGAGTATCGGCAGTCACATCTCGACTATGTTGTTTGTTCTGAGGCAGCAATACCGTACATTCGGAATCTCACTGCTGTGGTCGATGTGCCTTGGAAGCCTCATGTAGGCCTCTCGCTTGAGTTGGTTACCCAGGGCTCCCAACTTTTTTTATGAGGTTTCTGGATCTCCCGTCGAGGTTACCGCCGGTTCCCAGGCCTCATAAGCAGCCTGTCGGGGGGCCCAAGCGAAGCATATCCAAAGCTCATCGTAGGATGTGTAAACAAGCTGCTCGCATACGCAGGCGCGGCAAACTAAAAGAAATGCCCCCTGTCAGCGTCCAGAAGGATGAGGATGTCAGCAGCGGCGTGTTGGCGTCCCCGCCCCAGGCCGTCCCCAGCGAAACCGACACAAGCATTGGCGACGCTGAGGAGGACGGCCACCTGGGCCTCGAGTCGGAGGACGCAGTCCCGTGGGCCGACGAGCCCAACTTTGGCTGTCTCCTCCCGCCTGCGCCCGCTGATCTTCCCCTTCCGCCTCAGCCAGGCAGTCGAGCTGAGGGCCCCGAGCCCACTTGCCCCGGCGCGAAGCCCAGGGGGGGCCATCTTCCTCCGAGGCGCCAGTCCGAGCTGCCGGGTCTTCCTCTTCAGAGCAGCCTGGGCGTGAAAGGTGTGAGCTACATAGTGCCCATACTGCCCGTGCTGCCCAGTGTGAGATAGCCACGTTCGAGCGTTTCAGCTTGAGCAAGCCGAATCGACCGACTCGTTGGATAGTGGCTCCACCGCTCCTTTCGACATGGAAGAGAATGTCGAGAAGGAAGAAAGAAGTGCCATCGGTTTTGCCCCGTCGGGGGCCCATCCCCCTGATGGTGCTGTTGCCGCTTCCGAAGCCTGTCGGGTCGGCTCTAGCCACTGTGACTTCATCCGCAGAATCCACGCAGGTTGGGCCCGCACCCTTGAGAGTTCCATTTCGGCACGTCATTCCCGGGCCCCTCGTGGGCGTTCGAGAGCGGACGCGCCCAAGTTTCGCATCGACGTTGTTCTGGAGGCCACGCCGTCGCGCGTCGCCGCGTTGAGGGACTGCATTAGTGGGCGGTGGACTCGAGTTCACACAATTGTTTCACAGTGTCGGCGCCATCGTCTTCGCCACAATGGGGACACGCAGCAGGATGTTATGGCAGCCGAAGCGTCGTCATTGAGAAGGTCAGCTCCCGAGCAGAGGCATGGCTGCGTTGGACCAGGGGATCAGTTCTCTCGGCAGGAATGGTTGAATATACGTGGGGATATCAAGACAGCTGATGATGAACGATTGCATGCAACGGCCAGTCAGAGAGAACGGGTGGCCAAAAGGAGTCAAGCTCGAGCTGCGAATCGATAGATTGCTGAGTTCAGGGAGTGGATGGAGACGCAGGCCGCTGTGTCTTTTTTGCATGGGTCGATTAAGGAGCAGGCAATCGCGCCTGCGGTGCTCGAGCAAGAGGCACCCACCATCCAGCACCGCAAGGAAACCTTGGACGCGAAGACGCTCCGCTGGCAGGAGGTCTGGAGCCAACCGCAGCAGGACATCTTCGACGAGGCGCATGGCTTGCCCGCTCGCATTCGCGAGCACGTCCAGGAGGAGCGGCTTCCCGACCTGACGGGGCAGCGGCCCAGGGAGACTGGCAGGCTGCGCAAGCCCAGCGCAACCATGGGCGTGGACGGGCTCGCGGCTGTGGACCTCGACCGCCTCCCCATCGTTGCGCTCGACGAGCTGGCGGTGATCCCGCATGCGTGCGAGATGGCCAAGTGCTGGCCGCATCAGCGGATGTCAACCAGAGGCGCCCCGTTGCCCAAGAAGCTCGCGGGCGACGGGGTCATCGGCCTCCTGCCCCACAGCTCGCGCATCTGGTCGATGGCGCGGGAGCCCTGGGTGCAAAGCTGGAGCGAGGAGTGCGAGGCGCCGTGGGACGCGGCGATCGAGGGGAACGCCGCCACCCAGGAGGCGTTCCTGGGGGGGGGACGAGGAACTGGCGGGCCGCCTGGGCGTCGCCCACGGCCACAGGCTGCTGGACATCGCCAAGTTCTACGACTCCATCGGCAGGCGAGGTGTCGGGGCTCGAGCTGCTCATGTGCATGGCGACTATGTACCTGAGGCAGTCAGGGGCATGTTCGGAGGCTTTCTTTCCGACCAGGTCGGTGGTGCAGGGGCCCAGGTCGGGGACGAGGTTTGCGAAGATAATCGCACATGTCATGATGCATTAGATCACCACTACCCACCTGGGGTTATCACACAGGCTGTGGATCGATGATTTGAGTCAGGTCGTGCGCGGTTAGCGTGAGGCAGAAATTCGCATGTTGGCCGAATGCCGTATCGCAACTTGTGAGCATATGCAGCAGCACGGTCTGACCATCGCGGACAAGAGCGTGCTGGCTTGTTCTAAGATCGCAGGTGCACGTGCCAGTGCACGCAAAGTCAAACAGAAAGGTTGTTGTGCGAGCTGCCGCACAGGCAGCTTACCTCGGATGGGGACTTCGGAAGAGGTCGTACTCAGGCTCGTGCTCGTCGGGTCGGTCGTGGTCTGAAGCACAAGCGCGCACAACAAAGTGGCAAGATTTGCGAGGACTGCTCGCAGATACGTGCCCACGGTGAAGCTGGAGCAACAAGGGGCACTGGCGGCTGGATCCTACGGGCATCAGTTGCACGGTGTGTTCGGCAGGCGGATGCAGGCTATGAGGTCATGCATGGTCAAAGCGGTTGCCCCGAGATTGTCTGGTCGTTGTTGCACCACTCTCCTCGCCTTGTGTGCGCCTGGTCGGGACCCCGCATTGAAGATGCCAACAGAGTGCTTACGATTGGGGTTGAGACGTTGGGTGTCTGAGCCAGCGACGCGGGCAGGTGCGACGCGCGCGTGGGAAGGCGTTGTGAAGCAGATGCGCGACACAGCACCAGAGCGCAGGAGCAGGTACATCCGCGGGCCGTCCGGTGTGGCGTGTTATTCGTTGCAGGCTGGTTGGAATCCTATCGGGCCCACCACTCGGCAACTGCCAGTCGCTGAGGACGGCAGGTACGACGCATGGGAGTTCGATCTCGACAAGCTCACTGGCTTTCGGGCGCTCGACGTGCCCAAAGATTTCCTTCGCGAGTTCGAGGGTACGATCCAAGATCGTCAATGGCGCGAGGCTGCCAACCACTTCGACGGCGAGGGCATCCAGCACGGGGTGTGCAACCTGTCGTACCGCATCCTGCTGTAGCAGCTGAGGGATGGCCGCAACGGGGCCAAGCTGGCAGGTCTTCTGCTGGCAGCGGCTGCAGGCGCAGCATGGCCGCATACCCGCAGGTCGGAGCGCGCGAAGCAGGCGCTGTCCTAGTTGTGCGCTCGAAGTCGGACAGCTCCCGAGGACAGCTTTCACAGGTGCTTGGGGGTATGCTCTGGGCGGAGGCCTCATCCCATCTACGACATGAGGGACGAGCTGCTGCCGAAGGCCCACACGCAGCATGAGTCCGAGTCGTGTTTCTGGCTGCTGGGCGTGATCCCTGCAGAGTGGGCGCGTGTGCCGCCGCCACAGGCCGAGGAGGAGTCGCACACCTTCGGCTGCAACGGTTTCGTGCAGGGGATCCTCGGGTGCGGCAGCGAGGTCACCCCGGCCTGCATCTTCGGCGATGCGAGCGGGGACATGGACACACATGACCCCCGCCTTCGGAGGGTCGGGGTCCGGCTTGCGGTGTTCGATGACTTGTGCGAGCCCGTGCAGATTTCCAAAGCCGTGTGGGGAGGTCTGCCTGGCCACCGTCACACCGTGACAAGAGGCCAACCCTTCGCTCTCGCCACGGCCATACGAGGCGGCGACGGGCACATCATATGTGCCACAGACAATGCGAACATGTGCGGAGGCTGGCGCGCAGGCAAACCACAGAATCCAGACGGCGAGGACGATGACCCGTGGCACGCCATCGGACAGGAACCGAAAAGCCGTAGCACTGTGCAATGCTGTGTCATATTTGCACATTCGCATTAGGAGGCCAAGGATGTAGCAGCTGGCCGTTATCCATCCTTTTTTGTCGTTGGCAAACCATGCTGACCATCTGACAGGTGTAGGGGCTGAGCCGTGTAGAGTACCTGAATGCTTCAGGGCCCGAGTGGTTCAGGTCGGGCATCAGGCGTACTTGGTCCGCATGATGATCCTCGTGAGTACCCTTCAGTCTCTTGAGGCCGGACAAGCCCGTCCCGTTGAGGAGCCCCAGAGAGCCCGCACTCGGCACCCTGGGCTCAGGCCTCCCGCTCCCAAAGTGTGTGCTAGGTGTTCTACCCTGCATGTTCTGTCGGAAAAAGGCAATGCCTGTTTGCAGTGTAGAGGCTCCACCTCCCAGGCTGCTCGTCGCCCCTGGCTGGGTTCGCCCTGTTTTCCACTGCGGCCTAGCGATGGCGTTCTTTTCGATCTCCCCCATGGGCGTCGGGTGCACATATATGGTGGAGGGGCTCACAGCAGTGATCCTCTGGAGTTTCACCCAGGGCTGGGGATTTGGTTCTGTGGCAGGTGTGGCAGTTTCACAGCTCAGCAGCTTGCGGAACTGGGGGGGGAATGCCTCGGACCTGCCACAGGTAATCGGGCAGATTACCTCCAGAAAATATCTGGAGGCAAATGGCCTAAGGCGCACACTGTGTCTGAGAAGGTCAGACGTGCTGATGCCAACACGAGATTTGAATTTCAGTCAGTCATTAACCGACACGGTCGCAACATCTGTAACTCCGTAACTCCTCCTCCTCCTCCTCCTCCTCCTCCTCCTCCTCCTCCTCCTCCTCCTCCTCCTCATCATCCTCATCCTCATCCTCATCCTCATCCTCATCCTTACCCTCCTCCTCCTCCTCCTCCTCCTCCTCCTCCTCCTCCTCCTCTTCCTCCTCCTCCTCCTCCTCCTCCTCCTCCTCCTCCTCCTCCTTTCCTCCTCCTAACACTATTCCTCATCCTCCGCACCCTCCTCCTACTCCTCCCTCCTGCTCGTCCGCCTCCTCCCCCCCCTCCTCCTCCCCTCCTCCTCCTCCTTCCCCTCCTCTGGCGCCCCTTCCACAAGAAACGTTCCGCAAGAAACCCAACCGTTGCTTTGCGGTGTGGAAACGTCACGCCTTGCACAACAAAACCATCGAAACCCAAGAAACCCAGGGCACCCGGGCGCCCTGGAGGCAAGCAGGATGTTTCTTGGCATGGGCCTCCACTGCAGAGGGTCTAAAAGCCAGTTTGACAGGGACGATCGAAGCAACAGTTGCTCCTTGCATGGGTCGCTGACTGCGGGCTGGCAGCCTGGACGGCGACGAAGACGACGATGACGACGACGACGACGGCGATGACGACGACGACGACGACGACGACGACGACGACGACGACGACGACGACGAGCATGGAGCATTTTGTCAATCGTCCACTTCCCAATGGGACGATGCGACGCCCACAAGGCAATTCTTCATGCCTTGGTCGAATTATGGGCAACGGTAAGGTTACCCAAGATCGCCCTCTTAGGTGGCGACATCCGAACTTTCGACACGTGCTCCAAGCATTCCATACCCTACCCACGCCGCCCATTGAGTTGCCTGAATCGTTGGTCGGCGAGAGTAGGGTTCGGATTTCGCCGCCGACCTCCAGCTCGTCCAATGCATGCGTGCAGACTCCTGGGCGTCTTCCAGAGAAGGCAAGAAAATTGTGATATGTTCCGGCGGTTGGTCCTCCAATGGCCCGCGTGGGGCTCCCAGGCCGTCACCGAACAGCGAAGAGCTGGTCCCCGAGGATGGGGGTCAAGGGCTCTGGGGGGCCCACGTCGTGCAAACATCGAGCCGCATCGGGCCACCTTCAGCGCCGATCCAAGACATCCTCGCGGAGCTCAGAAAGTTTATGTGTGTGCAGTTGATTGTTATTATTAGTATCATTGTTGATATTACTATTATTATTAGTATTATTATTAGTATTATTATTGTTATTATTATTATCAGTAGTAGTATTATTCGTATTATTATTATATTTAGTATTATTAATAGTAGTAGTAGTAGTATTATTAATATTATTATTAGTAGTATTATTAATCAGTATTATTATTATTACTACTATTATTATTATATGGAGGCCATCTTGAGCCATTGTGGAGGCCTTCTTGGGAAGTCGCAGGGATCCAGGAGCCCCTAGGGCAGTCTTGGCCGTACGAGGCTTCGCGGCGCCCCTCATGTGCATCGCAAGCTCGACCTAGAGCTGCCCTGCTCGCACGCTCCTTTGCACGCGCGCGGCAGGAAAAACGCAGCCTCTCTCGGCCCACAAGTTTACCCTGCGTCCGAAACGCGTCGCCTCAGGCCAAAGATGCCGAGATCGGGATCGCATCCAGTCCGCGTCCTCCTCATGCTCTCCCATGCCCAATGGGGGACAAGGGGGAGGAGGGAGTAGGGCAGGGGAGGGGAGAGAGGGGAAGGGGGGAGAAGGGAGGAGAGAGGAGGAGAAAGGGAAGAGGAAACGCTGGCCGCCGCAATGCTTTCTTGAAGGCGCTGGAAGCGTGGGGCCCGACAATCGCCAAAGGTGTGGCAGAAGCGGCCCTCATAGCATCCGGGAGGTCCCTGAAGGCTCCGAAAGGCCCCGGGCAAACCAGAAGCCTCCAGAGGGGGCTCCCAAGACCCACGCAGAACCCAGACGACGACGGCTGGCAAGGCTTAGGATTGCGCACGACCAGCCCCCCCCCAGGCAGCCCCAGCTGGTCTCAGCAGGCCCCTCGAGCGGCCCAGGGCGGGCTCAGCACCCCAACCCCTGGGGCGCGGAGCGCCCGAAGGGCGCCACCCGAGGGCGCCGAGGCCGCTGCGGACTACTGCTCAGAGAGGGCCTGTGGAGGCCGGCTGGGGCTTCCCCCCCTCGGGGGCTGCACTGTGCGCAGCCCGAAGCCCGACCGGCGCCGACGGCCTCCGCTGGGGCAGCGACTCCTGCCGGCGGCGCTGATGGCCGTGCTGTAGGTGACCTCTCGGGGGTCTCTCGCGGGGCCGCAAGCTCGCGACCCTCCCATCCCTCCGCTCTCGTCCACCATCCGCCTGCCCTGCGGGCACGGTGCGCACTGGGAGGCTGGGCTGGGCGACAAAGACTGCAGTAGATACGTACGTGAAGCCATCTCGCTACGAGAAATCGAAGGGCACGTCTGTCGAGGATCTGTGAGCTTCCCGAGGTGCCCCAGGGCCAGCAGGCGATAAGGCACTTCCGTGTGGCACCAGCTGGCGTCCAAAATCCTTCCTGATACTCGAAGGTGGGGTTCTTTTTCCTGTTCCTAACCATCCTGTGGTGTTGGGTCCTATTTTTGAAGAGACAGCGCCCCGCGTCCCTCCTCTCCTCTCATCTCCTCCTCCTCCCCCTCCTCCCTCCTCCCATCCTTCCCTCTGCCATCCGCATGGATCTGCTTCGGCCAACCCCTCACCCGTCTCGTGGCCCCATAAAAAGCTGCACCGAAGGCCCAAATCCCAGCGTTCGCATGCGCCCACCGAACTTATGTCGGCACACCCCTCAAACGTTTCGTGGCCACATAAGAAGCTCCACCGAAGGCCCCACTGGCTGCGCTAGCATGCGCCCGCCGCGCCAGTATCGGCACACCCTCACACGATTCGTGGCCCCATAAGTAGCTCCATCGAACGCCGCAGTGGCTGTGCTCGCATGCGCCCGCCCGCACCCATTTCGGAACACCCCTCACACGAGTCGTGGCCCGATGGGAAGCTTCACCGAAGGCTCCAATGGCAGCGCTCGCCAGAGCCCGCCGCGCCCATTTCGGGACACCCGTCACACGTTTTGTGGCCCCCAGGGAGGTCCACAGAAGGCCCCCCAGTGACTGCGCTCGCATGCGCCCGCTGTACTCATGTCGGCAGCCTCATCACACGCTTCGTGGCCCTCTAAGAAGCTCCACCGAAGTCCCCACTGGCTGCGCTCGCATGTGCCCGCCGCACCCGTTTCGGCACACCCCTCAAACGTTTCGTGGCCCAATAAGTAGCTCCACCGAAGGCCGCAGCGGCTGCGCTCGCATGCGCCCGCGGCACCCGTTTCGGCACACCCTTCACACCTTTCGTGGGCCCAAAGGTAGCTCCACCGAAGGCCGCTTCGACTGCGCTCGCATGCGCCCGCCGCACCCATGTCGGCACACCCCTCACACGCTTGGTGGCCCCAAAGGAAGCTCCACCGAAGGCCCTAGTGGCTGCCCTCGCATGCGCCCGCCTCACCAACTTCGTCCATCCCTAACACGATCCGTGGCCCTATGGGAAACGAAACTCCACCGAGGGCCGAAATGCCAGCGTTCGCATCCGCGGGGTCGCGGCCCAAAGGCCTAGCCCACGAGGACGCGGATACGGACGTGTTGTTGTAGGCCCCCTGGATAGGATCGGAGTATCGCGCCGCCTTGCCGATACATCGGCGATGCATCGGCGACACCAGCGTGGAAAAATGTATGTTCCACATCGAGCCGCATCGCCGATGAAACAGCGATGCGGCACGATCCTCCGATCCCATCTACCCGGACCCCATCTATGAGGCCTAGAGCGGTCATGCGGATACGTTCCGCGCGGGGCGTCCGCGAAAAGAACGCCCCGTATCCGCGGGGTCGCGGCCCAATAACAAAAACAAGGTTTTTAGAACTTAAACCCGATGCATCCAAATGAGACCGTCTCACCGAAACATGTTCTACGAACGTTTCGTGCTAACCAAAAAAAAGTTCTTAGAACGTTTTTTAGTGGGCGTATAGGCGAGCCAAGACGCTTCGCCACTGCTTGAAAAGGCCTGTCACACGAGGCCGCAGATACGGGCACGCTTCGGGAAGCGCGTTTCACTTCTCGCAAAAGCAAAGTAGCTACTCGCAAACGGCCTGGATCCTCCGTGAGGGATTTGCGATACGTTACATGAGGAAGACATAACTGGCCCGGACGTGTGCGAGTAGGCACATTGCAAGTAATGGAACGCGCTCGGTGAATGCGATCCGCCCGCGAACGATGTCTTGCCGGAGCCCCTGGGCACTCCGGAAAGAGAGAAAGAGAGAGAGAGAGAGAGAAACAAAAAAAAAAAAAAAAACGAGCCCCGGGCGCTCTCCCGAGGCGCGGCCGAGAGCGGAAGCCTCCTGGACTCCAGGCGCCGCCTCTCCCGGCGGGGCTGCTCGCACCTCCGCCAAATTTCCGTTGGTAGAGGCCTCCTGGATCCGGTCCGAGTAGATGGGGTCGAAGTATCGCGCCGCATCGCCGATGCATCGCCGATGTATCGGCGACGTCGGCGCGAGGAAACACGGGCTCCACATCGAGCCGCATCGCCGATGCATCGGCGATGCGGCGCGATCCTCCAACCCCATCTACACGGACCCCATCCAGGAAACCTAGAGCCAAGCGTCTGCCGACGAAGCCGAACACTCGTCCGGCTTCCACCGGACTCGGCGGCCAGTTCTGAAATGATTCACCTTCCCGACGCCCGACGCCGTGGAGACGAAACAGCAAAACTTGACACATCGATCACATCCTTGTCTGAACAAGACTCGCCTCCCTGACGCCCCGCGCTGCAGAAACAAACACGTACAACTTCGTGGGCAGAAACATATCACGACAAGAGCTCTTGTCCTTGCGCCTGGATTCAAGTCAGGCGTGTCCCCCGACAGGCGGATTTTGGAGGAAAAACAAAAAATACAACAAAACAACAAATGCACAAACATAGTCAAATAACCCCATGCTATAGAGAATATCCCCCCAGGGATAATAAAGTTCGGCGTCACGGAGTGATAATAAAAGTTGCCCACCAGAGGCCAGCATAAAGATGTTAACAGAGGAGCCAAAGCCGAGGGTATCTTGAGACATCCTTAGCTTTTGGTCCTCTCTGAAACATCCTGAAAGAACGTGTCGGCTTTTAATATTTTTATAATACGGAACTGAAGCTCGGAGTTTCTATAGAGATTCCTCATGTGCCTCGTTTTCCCAGGATAATCAACCACAGCGGCAAACAAGTTCAGGGGGGCAGGGGGAGGAGAAGAAAGATAGATAGATAAAAAGAAAGATAGAAAGAGAAGAGGAGGTAGAGGAGGAAGAGGAGGAGGAGGAGAAAGAGCAAGAGGAGGAGAGGAGAAGGAGATAGCAAACATCCAAAGTTTCAAACTTATTAGATTTAATTTGTAAACGCTTAATGGAAATGAAAAGTTTCATCTGCTCGTGTAGGGTAGCTCACGTGTCTCGTTTTCCCCGGATAATCAGACCCAGCGATAAACAAGTTCAGGGCGCCAGAGGGAGGAGGAGGAGAAAGAGATAGAGAGACAGAGAGAGAGAGAGACAGAGAAAGAAAGAAAGAAAGAAAGACAGAAAGAACTACAAAGAGACAGAAGGACATTGGTTTCGCTTGAGACATCCTGAAAAAACGTGTTCGCTTCGCTTGGTGTTGTTATCTCAACATAAGAAGGGAGTAACCTCGATGGCGAACTTTTCCCCGTGAGAATGAAGTTCGTCCTCCGCGCCCCGCGCCCACAAGCAAACGCCACTTGGCCATCGATAATCAACTCTTATGTGTATAGGGGGGGGAGTACTTTATTATCGTGGGCATGGGGTTAATCGCCCCCTGACTATGTTTTTTGACTATGTTGAAGATCCCTCCTGTAGAGGGACACGCCCGACTCAAGCCTGGAGCTGCCAGCTGGGTCGACTGGGGTCGACCCGGGGGGGGAGGCCCAGGGTCCGACGGGGCGCGCGAAAAATGCACGCCGCCATCCGCCCCAGGCAGTGGGCTTGCCCTCCGGAGGAATCCCCCCCCCACGAGATCTGCCCTGGAACGCTCTCTGACGAGGACCTCGCCTCCTCCTCCTCCTCCTCCTCCTCCTCCTCCTCCTCCTCCTCTTCCTCCTCCTCCTCCTCCTCCTCCTCTCCTCCTCCTCCTCCTCCTCCTCCTCCGCCTCCTCCTCCTCTCCTCCTCCTCCTCCTCCTCCTCCTCCTCCTCCTCCCTCCCTCCCTCCCTCCCCCTCCCTCCCTCCCTTCCCTCCCTCCCTCCCTCCTCCCTCCCTCCCTCCCTCCCTCCCTCCCTCCCTCCTCCTCCTCCTCCTCCTCCTCCTCCTCCTCCCTCCTCCTCCCTCCTCCTCCTCCTCCACCTCCTCCTCCACCTCCTCCTCCTGCTCCTCCTCCTCCTCCTCCTCCTCC